AGAGAGAGAGACAGAGAGAGAGAGACAGAGAAGACTTGAAAATGGAGTAAGTTTCCTACTTAGTGATTTAGGGTTACTTAGATAAGGGAGGAGGGATGTACTCTTCCAGCTGGACTTCCCCAGAGCTTTGCAGAAGGAAGTTTCTCCAGAGCTTTTCTTTCAGGGCTAGGTCTTGAAGGGTGCGTGATTTTGCTGACGGATATGGGCCTCCAGGCACATCCGTTTGCTGATGTTGCAGATAGTATGGCAGTAACACCTGACTTTGCGGAAGTGAAGAAGTGAGACAGATGAGAGGGGAGATATAAAAAGAGGGACTTTATGGTTGAAGGATTGATGCTATGTAGCAGCAGACTGGGGATATTATTCTGTAGGCAGTGGAGATGAGCACGCCAAAATTTGAGCTTTAGAAAGATTGTTTCCGTAGCACCTGGGAGAGACCAGGGAGGAGGTTATTAAGATGTGAACCTTAACTAATAATGACTAGGAGGCAGATGATAATCTTGAAAAATCCTAACCTTTTCCAACAGAGCTATTTTAATCTTACACTGCCAGATTGGAAGAAGGCAGATGACATGCTAAGTGTGTAAGTCACTCTGACAGTATCGATTACTGGGCTCACCTGTCCAGAGAAAATACCTGTTAGTTGCAGAGAGAGAGGTGACAAACATGTTTTGAACCAGTTGTAGAACTTCTAACTATATAGAGAATCATTGGGTGTTAATTATGGGCAGGGGTTATATTATCTTATTCTTTTAGTTGGAAAAAGCTGCAGAAAGATTATATAATACTAGAAGTTATGTAGCTAATTTTGAGCTCATTGCATTATTTTTGTATAGCATAAGCTACTGAGAGCCTTTATTTAGTACATTTAAGTTGTAAATATACTTAGATAGGACCTACCGTGGGTGTTGGTGTGTTTAGTTAACTGCATTAATCCCTGGGAAGTTTTTTGAACTTTATTTTTTGAAGAAAATTTTAAATTTTTAAATTTTATTTATTATTATTTTTTTTGTTCCAGGAATCGAACTCAGGACCTTGTGCTTGCCAAGCAGAAATTTTTTTATTTTAAAGAGAAAAAACCAGAATTTCAAAACAGGATAATAGGAGAGTAACAATAGTTAATATCTTGGATATTGTTGTCTTCAAAGTAGTTACTTTGAACTTTTCATCTTCCATTTCTTTTTTAGAATTTGAGGGAATTCGGCTGGAGATATAGCTCAGTAGCAAAAGTGCCTGCCTGGTAAGTGCAAGGTCCTGAGTTTGATTCCCAGTACAAACAACAAAAAACAAACCTAAATTCCCTCAAATTCCTTTTATTTGTCTTGGTTTGTTTGTTTGTTTTTGTTTTTTGTCCCGTCCTCCCAGTCGCCCCTACTGGGATTCGAACTCGCGACCTTGCGCTCACCAGGCAGGTGCTGTGCCGCTGAGCTAAATCCCCAGCCCTGTTTGTCTTTTTGAGATAGTGTTTTGCTACACAGTTCAGTCTGGCTTTGAACTTACTTTCTATCCCAGGCTGGCCTAGAACTCCTACTTCAGCCTCCCAAGTGCATGCCCAGGTGTTTTTTTTTTTTTTTTTTTTAATGCCCAGGTGTTTATTTTGTCTTGAAGTCCAACAAACCTTAATTTTTCCAGACAATTGGAAGCTTTCCAAGGAAGTGAGGAGTTATCTACAGACTGACTTAAATATTATTAGTTGTTGAAAGAGTGGAGCAATTATAAATGGTAACCTTGACCATATAGAAAGCACTCATTTTAGGGAGAATGCTATAGTACAGTGATGGTGAACCTTTTAGAGCTTTCTATTTTTTTTTTTTTTTCTTTTTGAGACAGGGTCTTACTATGCAGTTCAGACTGACCTTGAGCTCACTTTGTAGCCCAGGCTGGCCTTGAACTCACACAGATCCTCCTGCCTCAGCCTTCTGAGTGCTGGGATTACAGGCATGCACCATTACGCGTGGCTTAGAGCTTTCAGTGATATAAACAGCCCACTGTAGCATGTGTGCTATATGTTTGCCATCACTGGTTTAGTGATTAAAAGCTGAATTCTGAGGCCAGTTACTGGTTTGACCTTGGGGAAATGTATTTTTTTCAGTTTCCTCAGCTGTGAAATGTAATTAGGACTACCGTTGGGGCTTGGTATAGCTCAGTAGTAGAACATATGCTTACTTAGCCTGAGAAAGCCCTGGATTCTGTTCCCAGCATCAAACTGAACCAAACCGAACCAAACCAAACCAAACCAATAAAACTTATCTTTCAGGAATGTTACGTCGGTTAAATAAGAGTGCCCATGAAAAGTACCTAGTTGGTCTTTAATACAAGCCTAAAATGTGTGGGGATAGTATTGTTTTTATTTCCTAAGCACTCATAATACTTTACTACCACTAAGTAGTTAAAATTCTTCCCTTCACTGTAATCCCAGCACTTGAGAGGCTGCGGCAGGAGGGTCCCTGTGAGTTTCAGGCCAGCCTGAACTGCATAGTGAAACCCTGCCTGAAAAAGACCAAAAAATCGATTCCCGGTTCCGAAAAACAAACAACCAAAAAG